AAAAGAGACTAGATTAGTCAGGCATGATCTACCTGCTACGAACCCGTGCTGGTTTCCCCTCAACATAATTTGTCCTGCCGGGCTCTCGCAAATGTGAGCCTTGATAATTTTTTCAAAGACTTTACCTAGGATGGAGGTGAGACTGACTGGCCTATAGTTGCCTGGATCCTCCTTCCTCCCCTTCTTGAAAATGGGGACCACATTGGCCCTTTTCCAGTCCTCCGGGACCTGGCCCGTGTGCCATGACTGCTCAAATATTATCACCAGTGGTTGCGCAACGACGTCAGCCAGTGCCTTCAGTACCCTCGGATGGACCTCATCCGGGCCTGCCGACTTAAAGGCATCCAGTTCCTCCAAGTGACTCTGCACCATCTCAGGGTCTACGCTTGGTAGTCTGGCATCCTGCTGCTGCGTCTCTACAATCCCAGTGAGAGCCTTGTCCTGCCCCTCACTTAGGAACACAGAGGCAAATATTTCGTTGAGGAGTTCAGCCTTGTCCCCCCTGTCCGTCACCAATTGCTTCTGCCCATTTAGTAGGGGTCCTATTCCACCCTGGGCCTTCCTTTTGCTCCCTATATCTCTAAAAAACAATTTTTTGTTATCCTTTACTTGAGATGCCATCCTCAGCTCCATGGTAGCTTTGGCCTGTCTAACTGCCTCCCTACACACACGTGCGAGCAGAGGCTGTATACTCCTCCCCCCCCACAAAAAAAAAGGTCTGCTTTAATCTTGGCAAAACTAACCCATTTCCTGTTCTCTCATCTCATTATGGATATTAAATATAGTCAACTGACAGTTAACACAACATTCAGGAGTCTGTAGTAACTAACCAGCTTAAAAATCAGTGCTGAAAAGGTTCACTGAAGAGGCTTATGTGCCATTTAAACCACCAAGGGTAGTTAACAGACGTATTAACAGTACACTTACACTGTTCATATGTCTTTGAAGATGTAAAAAATTAAATGCATTTCAATAAAAACATTACTTTTCAAAAACCCTTTTAGATAACATGTGTTTTGCAAACTGAACAAACTTATCACATTAAGTTGATTTTATATATGACCAAAATGCTGTGCTAAAACTGGCTAACTGCCAGTGAAGCGTCCTAAATAGAATAAATAAATAAAGATTAATAATCTTTTTATCTTCAAACAAATTTTAAAAAAATGGATCAATAACTAACGTATCTCCATTGTAAATAAAACTGGCATACTTGGAAGTAACTTAATTACAACTGGTATTTTGCTGCTTTTGAAAAATGTGACAGGGAATTTTAAGCTCTATCAAAAGTTTACAAGTTAATTTCATAATGTCATAAGTCAGTTCTGAACATTTTAGTATTAACCATAAAATAGTAGTTTTATCAAGTCTTCATTTGTAAATTGGTTGATAACATTTTTAAATAGAATTTAGAATAAAACTGAGGTACCATGAGCAGGCACTTTAGGTTAATGATATTTTATGCTTATTTTAGGATTTTAAATGATCAAAAGTACTGCTTGCTGAAAAACTACTGAAAGCCATTGTGCTGTAAACACCCGTTATATTAAATAGAGGTTATTCCGTTCATGTGTAGTTTGTACTATCTGACTTCCACTTAGGCCACAAGTAGACCGAACATCTTAGAGCATGGTAATTGCCATGCTCCACCAGATTATTAAATTGCGTCTGATCTGACACGCTGCAATTATAGCGCATCGGAGCTACCTCCCATGCTCGTGTACAAGTGCCCATGGTTTCTAGTGATGCTTTAAGATGCATTAAAATAGGGTAATGCATATTAAAGTGCACGTACAGACCTATACTTCCTCCCACTGGCTATACTCTAGGCTTGTTCTTCATGACCAAATGGAAATCATGGACAATTTCCTATTCTCTTCTCCCTTGCTTCTCCCTCAAAATTGTGCATAATCTGCTACCCATAGTTTACAAAGCATAAAACTCAAAGCCTCAAACAGCACGACAAAATGTACATGTGTCTAAATAGAATGCTACTTAATAAACAAACAGCTAGGAAGAAACACATTTACACATAGTCCGAGAACAGCATTAACGATCCTTTAACTGGATTAGCTTTTGTGAGAGGCAGAAATCCAACAGAGTCAAGTAGCAGGTTAGAATCAGACAAAGAAGTGAAAACTCTAGAAGGAAAAAAAAAAAAAAGATACGTTTTGTTCAGATAACTGACATCTTGTTCGTGGTTTTCCTCCCACGAACTTAAGATTGCAAGTATGAGAAGTGACAAGTTAAAGCCAAATGTAGATGGCAAGGATCACTTTGATTCTAGTTTAATAGTAAAAATAAAGATGAAGACAGCATCCATTACCTTTTGTACCCATCAAAGTGCATTTTTGTGTCCTATATGACCCTATAATTATGTCCCAGAATATGTGGGTTGATGTTATAAATAAGGGAAGAGCATGAGTTGTGCTTGCAACTGCATCTGTACTGATAATGTTCCTCTTACCAATACAGGACTTAATTCTCCAGAGTTATGTGAGCTTTATTAGCAGAGCAAAAGTACTGTGAGGAACTGAAGTGCATCATGAGATAGACTGGGAGAATATTCTTATTTAATTAGGTTGCTTTTCAGTTGAAATATGATTTACTGTTTCTGTAGTGGCCTTTCTGACCTATGCATAGGTTCTACATGGGTGCCTATACATAGGGCATCATTGCCGCTATTAATACAGTTCAGTAGCTGGGCAAATTACTAGTATATTTTAAGAACGCTGAGAGATGCTGAATCATTCCACTGACTCTGGCAACTCTTTTTTTTTCCTCATTTGTGAATCTACACGTAATTACCAATCTTTTCTACTTCTATAATGTCCTAATTAAAACAGAATGTAAATGCATCTTTAACATTAAGCATAGGCTTAAGTTACATTGACTTAAATCACATTAACTTCAGGAGGATTTCAGCATGTGATTAAGTGCTTTCCTGAATAGTATCCTACTGTTTCTTTTTCACTCGGAGGAATGACTATTCTGCATATACCCTTGTGCAAATATAACAGCACTAATGAATCCTGTCCAGCCCACTCACCACTATCAACGCAATACAGCAAACTGCTTCAATATTAAAGTGAACTTTTCTTGTAGTAAGAAACTCTTTGGTTAAGGATAACATATGTTTAGAGTCTTGAAATGAGAGTTTTATTTTTTTTAAAGTTTGGTAAAGCAGCAGCCACAGGAAACTAGTCTTGTTCTAACTGTAGTGGAATTTAAATGTAAATGGTCCTCCTGAACCAAACGGGTTGAATCCTTGCCATGTGTTCCAGCTTCTGTGGAAAGGGTGTCCTCCACCCTGCTGGCTCTCCGCATCTAATGGATCCTCTCCTGCATCAAACTTCTTTCTCATCTCTAAAGAGAGGCATACATACATAGTGAGAACAGGACACCACCTATCATTCAAGTCACAATACAGATAAATACAGTTCAATTGAAAGTATTTCAGTAGCTGGATCCAGACAAGAAAGAGAAACAAGGCCTAGCTTTAGAGTCCTAGCACTAGACAGTTTTACAGATCAGTTTGGTTTAAATGATTGCATCTCTACACTTGATAGTTTAATGCCCAAATAAAGTTTTATCCATTTAACATAGTTTCATCTACAAAAACTAATCTGACATCTACAAAGAAATCAAAGGTTATTTTGACATATCAGTGGAGACTTTCTAAATACTTTACTGTGCTTTAAAAGTGTTAACCAAGTAGGTTTGATCTTTAGTGTTGGGCAGCTTACAAGAGCAGTCTGTCAACTCCAAAGAAATCAGCTTATACAGAAAATGGAACTAACTTGTATAACAATGTTCCCTTAAGGTTCAAGTTCTATCAAATTAGTCAACTTGGATAAGTAGATTATTAGCCAGAAGACTTATTCTTAGTCGCTATCAGCTTTCAAAAGTATGCACCGAGTTCAAAACTCTGGGCCAGATTTGTAGTTCCAGACACAGCACTTTGAAAGCCTTCCATATATTTACTATGTTAGCTTCTCATAAGATTTTTATTTCCCGATTTAGACCTGAGGCTTGTAAACACCACCCAGGCCTTTTTCAGACAATATTAAAATCTCCTATCTTTCCAGAACAACTTCAAAACCTTAAAAACAAACTGGGACAGAAAATGTGCAAGAAATCCAGAACCTCTGCAAGGCAGTGTTCTGAATGGCCGGCTGGGCCTTCTTGCTGGTATCACACTAATTATTTCTACTCTGTATATGAGATCCATTTTTTTAACCAGTACCCATTATGCAACTGGCATCAGTTTCAAATAGATTCCTCCATTTCCCAGCTCCCACAGTCCTGAAGATTCTAGGGACAGCAGGGGCAGCAAGGAGAAGCAACTTAACAGGTGCACTGCTTTCTTCCCAGGCCCCTGCATAGTACCACTACTGGAAATGGCTCCATTTGTTCAGCGGAGTTTAAGTGGGGACGGGAAGCGATGTTCCTTATTTACCCTTTCTGCTCGACATTGTAGCAGCTTTTTCCTGGTAACCAGCAGAAGTCACAAGAAACTGTCTCCTACTTTTAAATAAAATATATTTTGTTTCCTTTCCCCCTTCTGATTTTACCTATTAACTTTAAACAGTCCCTTGGCCATCTTTCACTTTTTGAAGTTAGGCAAGGAGGTTGAGGGTCTTACACGACTTCAGATCAAGTCCCAGCTTCGATTCCTGGGCAGTGGGCTCAGTTCAGGATTGTATTAGGTTTTTTGAAATGCAATACAAATATGAACTCCTGATTTAGCCTCTACAGCCTGGGAAAAGATGGGCTAAAAGGAAGGGAGCAAGATACAACTGAAAATACCATTTTAAAGGTAGTGCACAAAAGGGGGGCAGGCAAAAGACTTTAAAACATGTTAAAAACTATGTGAGAGTCATCTAGTTTTAAAGACTGTTTTTTTGGCCTTTGGACATAAGCTTCCATCATAGCGAGGTCAAAGATTCATGGGACAGGGAGAAGAATGATTTCTCATTGAAGTTCTTTACTGTTGTCTAAAAATGTAACTTTTATTCAGCTCTGAAGGAGACATTAAGAACACCTTTATGGTATTCCAGGGTGGTGTTTTTGTCTCTCTAACGCATAGTTCTGCTGGTTGAAGTTATTCTGCGTATTTCCTTGCGTCTTACAAAACACATTACACTTATAAACAGACAATGAAATACAAACCCAGAAAAACATTAATGCTCTATATAAAGATTGGTAAATAAGTAAGAACTGTTTTGAAGTGTTAGTGTCATTTCTGTTCCAAAGGATAAGAGTTAATGTTAAAACAATCCTGTTACTCTGGGCCAGGGTCTAGACATGGAAGTTAAACAATTCATCTGTAAGAGGGACATCTTTCCTGCCTGAGCCTCCAATGGTATGGAATTAAAATACTTCTAAAGGGGGCCAGTCTCCCTCCTATTCTGTTATCAAACAGACCAGTATTGCTAGGTAGTACTAAGAGTATTTCACTTTCCCCTTGTTTTGTCAGCACTCACTTCACATGCCTAGGTATTTCCTTCCATTTTTTGTTGGGGTTTTTTTGTTGTTTTTTTTTAAATGAACACTTCAGGAAACAGTGTTCTCTAAACCTTTTTATACTGTGATGGAGCTAGTCTCTTTAACATTAGCCCAACAGCTAATCCACTACCGTTCTCACAGTTTGGTGAAAGTTTTGGCACTCCAACCTCCGGTAAGAGCCAGCACGCTTTTCCCCACCATTTGTGCTTCATTTTTGCTTCCCTTATGCTTGCGCATACTGCACTAATTCATTATAATAAGGTAATTACCTTCCTGCTGCACTATGGAAAGACCCCCGTCTTGCTGCAGACAGTACAAAAGAAATGAAGTTTCTAGAACAAGCTGGAGTGTTCATCTATAAGATGAACAAGCCCTTCTAACAATTTCCTTCCAGCTTTCCAGAAAAGAGTTCTTCCCTAGTTTAGGATACATCAGATATTTCAATAAGTCAGCTGTATTGTTTACATCCTGTATTTTGAAAAGAAAAAGAACTACTACATGAATATAATCACTACCTGGGTCAGTAAGGACTTCTTTAGCTGCTGCTATATCAATAAACTTCTTTTCTGCTTGCCTCTTCTCCTCTTCACTCTGGAAGTTATCAGGGTGCCACTGTGATGCTAGCTTTCTGTATGCTTTGATTATTTCTTGTTTTCGAGCATTTCTGGATGGAAAAAAAATTAAGATGAGATTACCAGCTGTTCACATGCCACACTATTGAATCTTAAATAAAAGTATAAAAGCAGACTGGAGAGCACTAGGAAAACTGAATATCCATTTGTTAACCTTTTGTTGTTGGCAGTTGACTTCAGACAATAATGAACTCTTCTAGTAGCAGCAGTATGAAATAGGTTATTTTAAATACAATTCCCTATTTTCTCTATCTTCAGAAATTTGCTTTTCCAATCAAATGCTCACAAGTAGGGAATTTTTAAGTTAATATCAGTTATAACTGCTAATAAAGCCTTAAGACCACGGTAACAAACAGTTACAATAAAACAATATCAAAATGTGGTAAAAAAGCATAAATATTTAAACATACAAAAAAGCACTAATTCAAACCGTAAATTTCAAACTTATTTTACTGAACCAACACTGGTAAACATTCCGAAAATTGGCATTTTACCTTTTTATTCCTAAAATTTTGTAATAATCTCTCTTCTGAGACTGCTTCAGCATCTTCTGGGCTCTCTCCAGACCTTCACGAATCTGTTGATCATTTTCACTGTTGGCTTGAGCAGTTTCATAATCTTTAACAGCTGTTCATAAGACGTAATTAAAGAAGTTTAATCACTTAAAAAAATTATACATCACATGAATTTGTTTAAGTACTAACCCTACCCCCTAACTTGGAACTTTTGGCCACTAAAATTGATGTCACTTTATGAAAAAGCCTTTCAGATTTGTTTGCAGTTTTCTTGGCATTTGTAAAATGCCTCCTACCCACTGATATTTATTAGTTTACCCATCTGTACTTCACAATACTACAAAGTCCCTGAAGTAAGGTGTGCTGCACTAAGCCTACACTATGCGTTTCTGCTAGTGCAGTGGCTCCAGTAGTAAATGCAGGGTGGACAAAGCCTAATTCACAAAAGCAAGAAAATTAGGGCTTTTTAACCCTTAAAGCTGGGAAGACATCTGAAAACTGGCTAGCATTAATGAGATTGGAGGAAAGATTGAATCTAGTTTTGTTTGGGTTGTGGTCAAGGAAAAAAAAGACTTGCCCCAAGAAGACTGGCTGGAAGGTTCCAATCTTTTGTTTCAATCATTGGCTGAAATGGAACTTGACTAAGTCTAAAAGGAGTCAGGAACAAACACTTCTTCGTGTGGAGAAAGGATGGAGAAAGTGAGTTACACATAGTTGTGGGTCAGAACAAAACAATGTCTTTGTGGGCTGGGATGTTTCAAGAGCTAAAGAGAAATAGAATAAATGAGAATAATACAGACAAAGATGGCTGCAATGACCGATATCGGAAGTGGTCTTAAGTAAGCTGGAAGGATGTATTCTACATTTTGAATTGTTCACCTTTGTGCCCAAATATCACATGGGAAAGGCCCTTTCATTAACTGCTTTTTCTGGTTTATTACTATAGTAGTTATAGATTTCAAAGCATTATGCAACTGATATTATTCTGCTAGAATACTGTTAGACAAATTGTTAGAAAAATATATACCCAAAACATTGTATTTTAATCTCATTGTGTAATGCATGCTAAATTTGGCTTCATACAGTTACTGCGTTAATTTCCAAGAGATCAGAGGAAGGGAGGTACTGTAATGCTTTTTGCAAAGGGGTAAAGCATCTCAGAAGCCGAATTTCTCTCTTTTTTTTTTTTTTTTTTAAAGAAGGAAGTGGCATTACTTCTTTTTTAACTGTAACTGAAGTGGTTAGATTCTAATACTAGTATTTTTTGTGCTTTACATTCTACATGTAACAGGCACATATCCCTGCACTGTTATAATCCTGAAAGTCTCATTGAAGGTTTAAAATGCCAAGATTTCAGAAAGACAACAAAGTGTTTGTATCAGATTATTTTTAAGAAGATGTTATTTCTGAGCATGTGCTAAATTCACCTTTTTTGCTGTTTCTGTGCAAGACAGCAGGAGGTGCTAACCCATTTCTATAACTTCCTGCACTTGAAAGCAGCATAGCAGTTTTGAAGTAAATTAGAAATAATATTTTTGATGCCCCAGTGATTCAACTCTCTCTCTCAAACAAAAGAGGACAGACCACTGCCAAGAAACTAAGCACATTCTTTGCATGTCTTCACCATGGAAGATGTATGCGAGATTCCCTCACCAGATTCACTCCTCTCTAGGGACAAGTCAGTAGAGCTGACCCAAACTGAGGTTTCAATAGATGAGGCCATAGCGGAAATTGATAAACTAAACAGCAGTAAATCTGATGGCATTCACCCTAGGGTTGTAAAGGAGCTGGGATTGGAAACTGCCTAATTTCTAACTGTAGTATGCAACCTATCAATACAAACAGCCTTGGTACCAGAGGACTGGAAAGTATTTTAAAAAGGCTGTAGAGGGAGCACTGGGAACTATAGGCCAGTTATCCTAACTTCTGCTCCTTGAAAAATGGTAGAAACAATAGTAAAAAAAAAAAAAAAAAATTGTTCAGCACATGGATGAACGTGACTTGCTGGGAAGGAATCAACCCCGCTTTGTCAAAAGGAAATCACACTTCACCAGCCTCCTAGCGTTCTTTGAAGATGTCAATAAGCAGGTGGATTACGGCAATCCAGTTAATATAGTATACAGCAATCCAATTAATATAGTATATCTGGACTTTCAAAAGCCTTTGACAAGGTCCCCATCAGAGACTCTTAACTAGATTAGGTAGTCACAGGATTACAGGGAACATCCAAAGATAGAAAACAAAGAGTGAGTAAATATGGTCAGTTTTCAGGACGGAAAGTAGTAAAAACAGCAGGATCCTACTAGGGACCAATGCTGTTTGAATATGTTAAAAGTGATTCGGAAAAGGGGGCAAGTAGTGAAGTGGTCATATTTGCAGACAACACAAAATTATTCAAAGTGGTAAAGAGTGACCAAGGCAGACTATGAGGACCTAGAAAACAATCTGACATAACTGAGAGAATGGGCAACACACCTTGTTCTGCTTCCCACATCTTGAAAAAGATACAGAAGAACTAGAAAAGGCATGGAGAAGGGAAACAAGGATTGGTGATATGGAAGAGCTTCCATATATATGAGAAGGGACTAAAGAGGCTGGACCTATGCAGATTAGAGAAAAGCTGGGGGGGTGGGGGCAAGATAAGGGTTTACAAAATATTAAATGGCAAAGAGGAAGTAAATAGGGATTTACTATTTACCGTCTTTCACAATGCAAGAACTAGCAGTCACAAAACGAAACTAGTAAGTTTAAAACTAACACAAGGAAGTTCTTTTTCACACAGCATGCAACTAAAGTGTGGAACTCACTGCCACCAGGTGTTGTGGAAGCTGACAGAAAAGAGACTGCACAAATTCTTGGAGGAAAAGGAGCATCAGTAGCTACTGACCACAGGAGTTAGGGGTACAGTCTCTGAATCAGAACTTCCTAGACCTTAAATCCTGGAGACTGCAAGTGAGAAGGAACAGTGGAAAAACCCTGGTCATACCCAATTCATTCTCCCTTTCAGCATCCACTCTCTACCACAGTGAGATACAGGATGCTGGGCTAGAGGGACCTATGATCTAACACAGTAAATAGCAATTCTTATGTTCTAATGCCTTTGTATGCAGTATTCTGTCCAGTCACTTAAAAACACAGCAGGCTATATATACCAGATCATGCCCATAATATACACTACCACATTTAATGGGGATAATGAAAATGCAGGGACTTTATCACAATGCTTTACTGTGCCTGTAATGTTAAGCACCAGTGCTCTGTATAATAAAAAGGGCATTTCCTATTATGAATTTCTAATAAATGCATATTGCGGACTTGATGTAACAGATTGCTCACCTTCATCAAATGCCGCATGCAGCTACAGCACAGCACTGCTGGCAACTCAAGCCACTTAGAATGTAAAAGATTCACACTAGCAGTCTTTCTTTAAATATATTTAATATTAAAGTGACTCATTGCTAGATTCAAAGGACAGTATGCAGGGGAGAAGGAACAATTAGTGCCACACGCTCAAAAGGCTGTGGGGGTAGAAGTACTGGCAGCAGGGTACGGCCCTTTTCTCAACTGGTAATAAATGTTGGCCACAAGTACACCCTCCTCTTCCAGAAGCTGCTAGTCTCTTTCCCTGTACTTGGTTATTACAGGTATAATCAATCCAGTGCCTGCTACTTATGCATTGATTCGTTACTCAAAGTCCTCCTCCAAGCAACCCCTCAGAGAAAGGTTAGTCTTTTTTTCATAGTGTTCACAGTCACTGTGCTCTGCTTGATTTGAAGCAGGTTAGAAGCATCTGGTCCTCTACAGAAAAGTTAACTTACAAAAGCCCAAGGCATCTTCTCTTACATAGCTCAAAATGTTATTAAAAAGTTGCAACATTATTCAACTCTTTATGCCAATACATAATTTACCCTCTCTCTTCATTAGTTCTGTATTTATTTTCAAGAATACCCCTTATTTCATACTGCATGATGGGATAAGTGACAAAGATGTTGTCGGATTCCAAGAGTCTTTATTAATTTTGAGCATCCCAAGTCTTTACCTCTTCTTTTCCTGGCTAAAAAAGTCTTCACAATCTCTCAAACACCTCCTGCTACACCTTTAACCATCTAAGCTCCCCTTCTAGTCTCTCCTGTATCTTTAAGATGAAATGACCAAGTTTGGACATTATCCAGAGGTACAGTTCAGAGACAACTCCACGGTTTTACTGGCAAATACAGGTAAATGTGTATCAGACATCACATGTATGTACTTATTAATATTACAGAGGAGAGCCAGCAGTATCCCAGGCACTGGAACAGAACCCAGTGCTTGGACATTCACGCAGGCTGTTAGTGTCTAGCCCTCTCTCCCCTGCTCAAGTCTTATTTTGGAAGGCCTCTCTCTACCCCTCTTTGCAATGTTTCAAAGGCTTGTATGCGTGTACAGCCAGCCCTTTCAAATGTTTCAAAGGCATCTGAAACACTTCCCTTGTTATTTCTGTCCACACCCAAAGACCACAACTCTAAGGTCAAAAGCAGGTTTGAAGTCCCCCACCCTTCCTTACGGACAGGATGCATTTCACTTTATGTATTTTGCATTTTTATTTTTTATGCCCTTCCCTCCCTCCCCTCAACCTTACAGCAGAGGTCAGTAACCTACAACCATGATGTGCCTAAATTTGGCCTGTGGTGGCAAAGGGCAATTAGTGGCACATAGCTTGACCTGACATTCTCCTTCTCTGCCCTGCACTGTACCGCTAAGCCCTCAGTCCTTACTGCTCTCTGCCGTCTTCCTCTGGGGCAGACACTGCTTACCATCGCTGCTGAATTCAGCCCTGTCCGCCGGGAGTCAGGCAGTTTGGGCATTATGGCTGGAAATGATGGCTGGCAGAAGCCAGGTTGTAAGTGGCCAGCCTGTTACTCTAAAAGACTGTTGACTCCTGCCTTGGATGACTTATGTAGTTCTGTACACCTCACCTGGTCTTCTTCATACATGAGCTCTCTCAATACCACAGTCTTTACTACAGATAAAAGTGAAGAAATTCTTAATCCAAAAGCACTTTTCAGAGGGAAACTGTTACAATGAAACTACGGCTTACTTCGTCACACAAAATACTTGCTTCTCCACCTGCTCTCCAGTGGTAAAAAAAGCCTACAGTCAAAACAGGGTTCATTTTGATACTAATGAATAAAAATGCTCAGAGATGCCCTATTGGATCCATAAATCTGTGAATACTATTGCTGCCGTTGCAGTTTACAGTTGCACTAACTACCTTAATTATAATACGACAAGTTATAGAAATCAAACTTGTAAAGGCTGTCATTGGATACACAGCAACTAATAAGACTTCTGCAATTTAATACAAAACACGGACACACCATTGGGGGTGGGGCAGAATTCACAGCCCCCTCCCTTCCAAAGTAGTGCCCATCTTGCCGAGTCACAGAGCAAAGCTCCCATGGACTAGCTCTCCCCACTCTAGAGTATCTTCCCTTTCCACTCAACTTCAACAGGAGGCAGTAAAGAGAACCTGGTGGTGGTTATAGCAGTTTGCTCAGACGTAGACATGTGAGTTCAACCATCCCCCTGAAGTGGTGGGGGGCAGAACTACCATCTTCCTTTCCCTGAGCAAGTGCCCTTACCACCAGCTTAGCTGACAAGACACTAGGACCAAACTTTCAGTGAGATGAAAGCAGCTATGCTCCTCTCCAGGCAGAGCAGAACCAGAGTGCAAGTGTCCACAGGGAACCAACCCCTTCTGAGCCTTCTCAGGGCAAGCCGAGGTATAGCCAGAGTGGGGCAGCTGGGGCCAAAGAGAATCTAAAAATTGCATAATTAGCATTTAGAGTCACTTATGTGTTTCTGTTTGGACATGCAAATAGCACTTAGATTAGCGGTGGACAATTATTTGGGCCCAAGGGCCACTTAGGGAGTTCTGGTGAGCTATCACAGGCCGGTCAGCACCCCCCCACCCCAGCTCACCAAAACTCCCCAAGGGGCTCTGCTCTGTGCTGAGCCAGGCAGCTCGGATAAGGCCGCAGGTTGACAGGTAGCAGCATCTGGGAGCAGGACAAGTGGGCAGGGCCAGGACTGGGATCAAGATCATGGGGCGGTGACTGCACGGGGCTGGGCCCAGGGCAGAGCCACGATCCACTGCCTGCAAGCCCCCTGTGATGGGCGCCAGTTCCATGAGCAGGCAGTGGGGAGTGGATTCGGCTCTGCCCTGGGCCCTGGCCTCATGCTGTCACCAGCCAACAATCCTAGGGTCTCCATGGACCAGCCAGGACCCACAGGCAGGGTGCATGGCCAGGCAGGTGGGATGGGTCGCAGGCAGGCAGGATGAGGCCGCAGGCTAATAAGGAGCAGTGTCCAGGAACAGGAAAAGCAGGCAAAGCTGGGTCCAGGATCTTGGGGCCGTGACAGCACGGTGCTAGGGCCTGGGCCAGAGCCACAATCTGCTCTCCACACGCCTCTGCTTGTGGACCAGCACCAGTCCTCGGGGAACGCAGGCAATGGATCACAGCTCTTCCCTGTGCCCTGACCCTATGCTGTCACTACCCTGCAATCCCAGCCCCATCCACCCATCCCACTCCCAGACACCGCTCCCAGCCTGGCCACAGCCCCTCAGAAGTACAGGAAGTATGTATGCCCTGCCCACCCACCCACCTGCTGTTGGGCAGCCCTGGCAATGGGTGCAGGGCAGACAGGCCAGGGTGCCTGGGCAGTAGGGCTGGGTCTGGCAGCAGCAGCTGCCAGAACATGCTGCTGTCGCAGGGGCTGCTGGGAAACTAGTCCAGCAGCCGTGCTGCCCCAGGCCCACTGTGCACCTGGTGGCAGCGGGGCAGCTGTATGTGCCATTGCTCAGACTGCTCCCCCATGCCTAGGCCAAGTAGGACCAAAGGACCCACTGCAAAATGGACAAAAATCCCTTGGTGGGATGGATCCGACTCACAGGCTGCATTTTGCCCACCCCCAACTTAGCTGCTCAAATCAGGGGGGGGCGGGGGGAGGGCGGGCACGAAGCGGCAGCAGGAAGGTGTCAGAACTGGGCCAACATGGTTTAAGTGTGAACTTATTCTGAGTCCCTGAAAAAAATTAATGTTGTAATGCAACTTTACCTTGGCCTTAAGAGCAAGTAATAAAAAATGCAAGGAGGAGCTTGTAAAGTAAAAGCATCCATTTCTTGAGACTTTGTAGGAAGGAGAAAAGGAAACTTGCCTGTAAGCCTCATCTGGGTTCTTCTACTCAATTTAAAGATTGTATGATTTGTGGAATTTGAACCACTAGGTCTATGCGATTCCAGTGTTGGTGGTAAAAGTACTGCTTATAAGAGCACTTGAAGTGAACAAAATGGGCACAATGCCACATGACCCTACAACCGTAAGCAAATCCTCAACATCATCTGAGGGTTCATCTGTAATCAATTTTTAAGCACCAGCATGGTGCTGGATCTATTTTAGGATAGCCATGTCCTTACTGACAGAATTTAAGGGATTCTTAAGCTTCATATTTTGGGGTCTGCTTTTTCTTTGCATTTGTCCTTGCCAATTATCAACCTCAGTATAATGAAAGAGCAGAAGTACATGAAGTATGTACGCTCTCTATCACCAGCTAAAGAAAGTGCTCCCTTGAATCAGACTCTTATTGAGATCTGGATAGGCTTACATGACTTGTCTGCTTATAGCTTGCTACTTATCAGACTCCTCTACTACTGAAACTGAATGGCAGAAATTCTGCACTAAATACCACAATAATACACAGAACTAGTGTTTAGGATGATGTTTGTGAAAAACATAATTCAGAGGAATCCCTTTTTGCCTATTTTTTTTTTTTTTGGTTCACTCAATACCAGCCTCCCACCTCCAGGTCTCTCACGTCAATAAAAAATAGTTTTCCACCACTGAAGCTGTTAAGCCTCTCACCATCCAAGAAATGTGGCTGACAACATCACCCCACCCCTCTGAGGAGAGCAACTAGGACATCTTTATCTTCAGGTGCTATTAAAAAGAGGGTAGAAAGACCCTTCTTTCTGCATCTCCAAAGGGCATTTGGAGTCATTACGGCCCCTGAAGACTACTGGGCAGTGGTAGTATTAGGTATTAGGATTTGGGTAAATCCAGGGCAAACTTAAAAAGCCAGGTATGTCTGCCCATCTGCAAGGTCACAGCATACAGGACAACCATAAGTAGAAAGAATAATTGTTGCCAACCTGTGATTACTTCAAAAGGGAAGTTCATGAACCTGCATCATCGCAACCAGCTGGAGTTCAGAAGAGGTGGAAATTCTGTTCTACTTAGTTCTGGGCCCTGCACAACCCTGTGTGCACATGGTATCTTGTGAGGGATGCTCCAGAAATGTCCTCCTTCTAATTAAGACCCTGTGTTAACCACTGCCCAGTACTCTCACTACACTGGGAAGTGCCAATACAACTACAAATGCTCTTTGCTGCTGACTTTCTTCTGTGGCTAGAATTTGCAAGCCAAATCTCCTCTAATAATCTCTACTACTCACCCCAATCATGCAGTAGTCATGCTTTCATGATTTAAGGCCCTACATTACATGTAAGGCCTTGTTAGCTCAGTTCTACAATCCCAGCAGACTGATGGGTTTTTTTAACTTGTTTTATTACAAGGTCTACAAGCTTTCACCCCAAGTATTGTGGCTTCCCTGCAACAACCAATTTTAACTTTCTTTCAATTTAAATATACTCATATTTTTAAATAATTAAAAAAAAGACAAAAGAAACCCCCCCCGCATACACCTTGTAGATTAATTCCCTCTCCTCCCCTCCCCCCCACATTGCCAGCTGAATGAATCAGCAACATCTTGTGGG